ACTCTGTGTGTGTTTATGCGTATACTTCTGAAAGTGTGCACACATATATATGTATGCGTATACATATAGATATTTACATATATATATATAAATTTGCATATATAAATACATACATATATATATATAAAAAATTGGAGTGTACTCTCTTTTAGTTCTCACCCTCCAGGCTTACATACATCTTCAATCAACTTCTAGAAATTTTTCTAATCTATACATCAGGGCGATCACAATATAGCTTGTTTGTATTTTGAACTGTATCTTCCTAAAATTATACATATGTCAGCCATACCTATTTCATTGTGGGAGGTGCTTTAGGCCTTTTTTACACTGTCAACCCAAACAATGGTGTTTTGATGCAGTCAGAAGAAGACAAGAAGAATCTGGCCAGGATGCAGGATCTGATCGACAAGCTACAATTAAAAGTGAAGAGCTACAAGCACCAAGCAGAGGAAGCTGTAAGTAACTATTTGAGCCCTTTTACCTTTGAGAAATCTGTTGTCCTAAACTCACAATCTTTAATCCACAGAAGCTTTTAGTACAAATACAAATTTTGTGTGTGTATTAATATTTGTATTTCTATTCATATAAACCTTGTATGTATAAATGTATTTATAATATACAAAAAGTAAAGTATAATGCGTAGCATATGTGTTGATTATATTTAAGAAAAGGTATTCAATTTTATCTTAAGACTGCAGTATAATTTGCAAGGGAAGAGGGCAAGGGAAGGAACGGGAAAGACTTTTTTCCTCCTAGTCCCTCAGGAGGCATCTTGAGAGCCTCCCGCTTCACTTAACATGGAGAGTGCCACTGGAAACATCAACTCTGTAAAACAACAATCTCAGCTCTCCAGGAGGCAAGTGGCTCCCATACAGCTGTTAAGTAGTCGTGCTGAGCACTCTTCTACCCACTTGAGATGGAAAGCTTTGTTTCACATGGATAGGAGGAAATCAGCTGCACTGTTTTCTCTCACCAGGAAGCACAAGCCAATCTCTACCTTTCGAAGTACAGAAAACAGCAACATGATCTGGATGATGCTGAAGAAAGGGCTGAAATAGCTGAATCTCAAGTTAATAAGCTGAGGAGCAAGTCAAGAGATATTGGCATGAAAAAGGTATGGTTATGGGGTAAACATGACAGTTAAATACACAGTAGTGCATGCTATGTATGCAGGAAGGTCTATTACATCTCCTAAAGTAATGTGGACTAGAATAGATGGATGTTGAAATAATACACTTTTTAGTTTCAGCCTACCCTTTATTTTAACACTAATGTAAGCCCTTAGGACAGCAATCCAATGCTTAGGTAAAATGAATTCTCTGTCCTCTTGATGTTGTCACTTAACCTCTATGCTCCGCAGCCAGAAGTTTCTAGAATTGGTGGTTTGGATTTTTTTTTTTTTTTGCAAACGATATTAAAAAGCTGTATCTTTTTCTCCCTCTGATGATGTAGATTTCTATGTATGTAACACAGCCTGGGGATTACTACAGTAGCAGATTGCCAGATATTCTAACATTGCTCTTTCCATGAACTTGTATTGATTTGAAGAGGTGAATGAAAAGAAAATATAAGTTATTAGTCACTTAAGTGCTAGGAAGTCAGCAGTAATTAGAAATATATTTGTGGTGTTTTGCACTTGAGCAGAATGGTAGTGGAGTAATACTGATGAATTAAAAGGTGCCCAGAACTTGGTATGGAACCAAAAGAAACCTTTTATTATTTATGCTTGCCTCATGGCAACCTGGGCAAGTAGGAGTGAGATTGTTACTTGTAGGAGTGATAGAAAGAGGAGCTGGGTCCTTGCTTTTATCTAATTCATTTGCAAGTGTAACACAAATTCCCATGCTTAATGTCACATAAGTTTTATGGGGGTAACAGCTCCTGAGTCAAGAAAGATAAAAGAAACATTTCTGCATAATTTTGGAATTTTTATCACATTTGATCCCAACACCTTCCTGTTCTCTCTGTATCCACCATTCTATGGAAGGAAATACTCCAATTTCTGTGTTTGTGTTGGACTAATAAAGTCACCTTTAACTGATATAAATGACTGCAACTCCACCGTCTAGAGCAGAGCTACACTATAACTAGATGAAGATCTGGTCTCTCAGGCATTTATGTATGATGAAAGCAGTACTGCATCTGAAGCTCACAAGTTCTGAAGCTTTTGAGGGTAAAATATTTCCACATATTTTCCTTTAAATGACTGCAGTACTTAGAAAAAAAGCCACCACATACAATTGCATAAAGCCATGGCATCACACAAGACGACAAAACAGGTAAACTGTAAGAGTAATTTATTTTTTAAAATACTCTTAAGACTGCTGTGTATTCCCTGCATTTCACTAGTACCCTCTTTCTGTCTCAAATATGGAAAAGGCATAGAAAAGTGGATGTCTGTTTTTATTAGATGAATTAGGTGTTGGCAAAGTAGCAGCCCTGGCTTACAGCAGAGTCAAAAGATGAGCTCAATGGTACACACAGAGGTGTCAACTCCACAAAAAAAAAAAAAAAAAAGGACTTGTGGCAGTAATGGCAGCAGCTGCCAGGAGATATGTTCAGGCAGCAAGTGCTGTCCCAATAAGTCATGACACATCTCCTCTGGGAAAAGAAAGGCACTGGAGAGATTGCTTTAAGCATGTAGCATTAGAAATACCTTGTCTACTGCTGCTAGTACCCATGTTCCTGGAAACTCTGGAAAGTGTATGTGATTCAGAACAAACATCACTATCTATTGAAACAGGGTTGCATAGAAGTCATCTGTCTTCAAAGGGATATATACTCTAGCATGAGGACAAGAAATCTATATTGTTATCTGAAGTAAGATGACAAAGGCTGGCTAGATTGGTGCCAGTCTATTCCAGATACAAAGTGGTCATACCAGGGAGCAGAAGCATTAGTGAAGAGAAGCTTTTGTCATTTATTTGTGAACTCACTCTAAAACCCCCTTAACACTTCCATTTTTAACAGCTGTATACTATCGCAATTGCATTTCAGGTTCATGAAGAGGAATAAGTACAGTCCAAGCTGTCAGATATGAGAAGATGCTTGATATAATCAGGCACAACTGAAAGCAGATGTAGAAAAAAAATAAGCACTTACAGAAATAAACATCAAGTGAAAATCCAATGAGACTGTATTGTGTATTCCATTCATTCCTTGTGTTTCTGTTTTGCCAAGCCCGAGGGATCAATAAAAGATTACAGCTTGCCAACAGCCCACTTCATTATGTTGGAACAAATCCTAATTGGCAGATCTCTGACAAAATCAAAACCAAGGGCAAATCCAGTCATGCTTCACAACCTCATGCATTTCATGTGCAGATTGCTAAAGCAGCACAAATTAAACCTGTGCAGGGGAACAGCCCTTAAAACTGGGATAGCCCAGCTTCTATCTGTGCTGCCAGTTGGAGTCCATATGAGTTTTGTAGGAAAGCAGAAAGTAAACTTTCTCACGTGAGCCATCAGTTTAGAAGCTTCCACTACTACCAGCCAAAGGACTTCTGTTTGCCAGCAGCAGAAGAGACATAGAAGATGCTGCGGAGGGAGCTCACAGAAATGCACCAAAATGACTATGCACAAATAATGAACTCAAACAGACTTTTTAATCTAACTGAAATCGAGCAGCCAAATTACAGGTTTGATATGCTGGTTGGGAATATTATCACACAGACCTGACTTAAGAATTCTTAAGCTTTAGGCCCGATGATCCAAAATGGGCACTCACCTAACAAAGGGGGGGCTCTTAGCCTTAAGCACCATCCCAACTCAAGGGGAGAGTCTCTGACTGCAGACCCGCTGCTTCAAGGAGGACAGACTCAAATGTGCCCTCCAGCAGAGCCCCATTTATACCCTGGTCAAATCTGATCTGTGGTCAAAATATGGTCATGTATTGGCTGAGGACTCCAACTTCCCTGCCTTTGACCCCCGTTGTGTGGACCAGACAGGAACCGGGGCATGATGGGGAGATGGGGAGGAAAGTCCTGGCACCACCAGGGCGAGCAGCTTTGGCACTGCTTTTGTTGGGTTTTTCTCAGGTCAGGTGTATCTGCCACAGGGACACATCCCATTAAGACTGCCTGTGGCTCAAAAATAGGGTGATCTCGTAAATCTTTTCCATTTCCACTAGAAATTGTCTTTGCTTCATATTAAAATACTAAATTAAGTTCAATGAAGTGCAAAACAGTAAGACCTCTCCTTCCCTTAAACTGAAAAAAAAAATTCCCTCAAAACTGAATCTTCTTCTGTGGAAACTTTTTCATTGTCCCTTTAGGATATCTAAATACCAATTTTTCATGCTAACTCCTCACATACAAGCATCAATTGACTTTTTTTCTTTCCCATGTCAGTTCAGTTGTTTGTTACTCTTGCTCAGTAATCACATTTCCATGTGGCTCTTCTAGTGTAACTCAGTAGGGAAGGTGAAGGAACGCTTTGTCCCTGTCCAGGGCAGGGGGCTTGGACCTAGAAGAGCTTTAAAGTTCCTTCCAACCCAAACCATTCTATGATTTTGTGATTCATTCCAGCAGCATTTCCACGTGCACAGAGGGATTTTCTTCCTGTATGTTTTCTGTTCTTCTGCATTTCTAGTAAAAACAAAAATGTTTGTAAGAACTACAGATGTGTAAAATTAATCTTCTAGTTGGAACTGAACAAGACACACTCACTATAAAGATAAGTATTTTCCATTTTAACAATAGCTGAGTAAAATAAACATCCATGTAAAGCTGCAGAAATATTCCTGTTTCTTCCATCTAGTCCTCCATCAATATAACCAGAGCTGAGTTAACCCGTAAACTGTTCCACTGCCTTTGATTACGATGTTAAAGGTCTCAACAGGTCCCAAGATAAATTAATCTTGCTTAAATTATTTAAATCAAACAGGTGCATCTTATAAATGTGTTAACATCTGTAAAGCACGTTATCATCAAAACTGACTAATAAGAAGAATGCAAGTGGATCTCTAAGTGAGAGGAAAATGAAAGAAAGACTGAGACTCTATCATTTTAGATTTGTCTTTCTGGTGTATTGTTGTTGAACCTCATGGTAAGCATTGTAAAACATCTCCTGAAGCTTATCAAATTCAGGCTGCAACAAAAATCTTAAAGCACATGGAGTCTGAAGATCTCTCTCTCTCTGGATAGGACTGTATTGTCAGACACAGAAAGATGTACCCTAAGGACTAAGAGCTAAAGTTCTTTTTTTAAGGATACTCAGCACAGCTGCAAGGGAAGGAGACATAATACTATAAGACAGAGCCAGCCTATTACAAATGCACAAGAATAAAATGCATCTACTTGAAGATGCTGTACTCTAATATATAGGAGAGATGTGTAGAAAGATGAGATCAGGAACCATATGATTATAACAGTCTCCTAAACAAAGGAAGTAGTATAACTTCTCACACTGAAGTTTGGTGTGGTTTGATGTTGGATATAAATGAAATAGTAATTTGGGCACTAATGAATACTAGGCATGTGTATTGTTTGAGAGACTTCATGTTTTGGTTTGAGGTTTTTTTAGTCTTAAACACAAGTGAGAGAAAATTAACTCGTTTGATTGTTTTTAAAGCAAGTTATCAGAAAGTGTTTGTGAAGGGTAATTAACCTTTTCATCTTTTGATAGAGCACAGGAGAGAATCTGGTCAAGAAAAGAGCATGTTAACATTGTTAGAACCAAAATACCACTGTATAGGTGTACCAAAAGGGCCTTCTGGACATAGAAAATAGCAAGAATGAGGACAATTTATTTATGCTGAAACTTATAATCCTACATTTCCTCTTTTTTGTATGCTTTAACGTATGAAAATCAAATGTTTTGGTCAAACATTCCAGTCTGGATTTAAGCTTAACAGTACCTTTAAAAATAAATCCTTTAATGATTGTACGTACCTTGAACAAGACGCAGAAGAAGACTGATGCTACTACCACCACTGCAGTGATCACTCCTAGCACAATTTTCCCAATGTTACCTGAATTTTCTTTAAAAATAGAAATTCCAAAAAGTTTAACAGAAGTGCTTCATGCCGCAAATTAAATGTTCACTGTTGTTCAGTAAGTATATCAAAGCTATGCTTTCTCTCTTATTTATAATCTAAAAGCTATGATTTAAGTAGTATGTCTCAGCCTCTTTTTTAATGTTGCTAATACAATAATATTCAAGTTACTCCACTTATGCTATAAGACCTTCAAGTGATATTTTAATGACTCCAGTGTGGATAGCTGGAAGCAGATTATTTTACTTAATTGTGTTGATACAAAATTTCATGGGTTCTCATGTAATATGATTTGATGAGCTTTTAATACAAGTCCCATTTAAAAACAATCAACAGCCCAGTATGGTAAACACTGCCTCCAGTGCTCAGTGCCATTAACTGTACTGCTGATTTCCAGTAGAACAACTCAGTAAGTGGTACCCAGCCTGGATCACAGATTTCATTATTTCTGTTGCAAAATCTTTTCAACTTATCTTTTCATCTTATCAGTTCCTCTGGTAGAACAGCTTTAAGCTGCGGCCTTTCTTTACACAGGGGAAGGCCTCCGAAATAATCATAAATTCATCTCACTTTTTTTAAAAGACTCCTTTCCAGTGGCACTTGGAAATCGTTCTGACGGTTGAGCAGCTGCTGTGCTATGACCACTATCCAATGTGCTGATCTTGCTCATTCCCTTATGCCCTGCTGCCTCTACCTGCTTATCTGCTTTCAGCCTGTGCTGCCACAAAGATGCTGATCTCTCTGGGAAGTATCTTCTCTGCTCTGTATAATGTATTTCTGGTCCACGAGTAGGAAAATGCTGTGAGCAGCACAGTAATTTAGCCACTAAAGAGGGGATTTGTATCACCTATGGCTATCATAAGATCCATCTGCAGAGAGCAGCTAGAGAAAGGCCTTTGCAGAGAATGACCCAGAACATATTAAGACTGGACAGATGCATGTGTCTGTCTCCCATAAATGTACAGGGAGGCTGATGGATTTGTGAACATAAGTTAGAAGCATCAGTTAATGAGAGTTGTCCCATCCTCTCCACGTCAGAGGCACAATATTAGGTTTACAGGATAAGGAAGGCCATGCTGGGATTTGAGCTGCCAGGAAGTGTGTTTGTCTGACTTTACTGGTTTTTTAACCTAACTCCCCTCCTTCCAGTTGCATAAAGCCACTGCCATTCAAAACACATCCTACATCAAGTTTTTAGGCTAAAACTAAGTGATCAAGGGGGGGTGGAATGGGGGAGAAATGAAGACAAACACATGCAGTTATTATCACTTATTCTACACCCTCTTCAGCTATGTTGCTTCTATTTTTCATGTCCCACTCAATTACTTCAAGTTCTTTTATTTCTTAAGAAAAACATGTGAGGTGCCTTATGTTAGTTCTCAATCTTTCAGGCAATGATATTTAATTGTGTAAAATGCCTATGTGCTACTGATTGAATGTTTGGGTTTTTTCCTCCTCCCTTAGGACTGAGATTTAAGGAGGCTGCATCCCAAACAGCATACTATTTTTCAACAGATCTGTAATTTGTTTGCACTGTAATTTTAGAAAGCCGAAGTAATTTTTAAAAAAATCTTCAGTAAGAGTTTTCAATAGACAGAAAAGTTAATCAGCAAGTCTCCTTGAAAGTGGAGACAATGAAATAACTGTAACTAAGACTTCATAACGGGAAATTTACCACAGTTGATAAAAATGCAGGCATGCATATAAACATCTATATTCCCAGGTCTAAAAAAGGCCTGCTGTGCAGAATTAAAGCTTTGAAAATAACAACTGTGCAGTTTCCTCTACAAGATTTCTTCTGCACGCAAATTTATACCACATCTGTGGGCTTCCCTTCATCTCCCTGCTACCTTTAAAGACCGTATTTGCTATTAGTGGAGCATTTAGGACATGATTCTGCTCCGAGAGCAGTCAATGGCAACTGAGGGCAGCCACTGATTTTGAAACTTTTACCACAGCAAGCTGCTGATTGAAAAAGAGAAACTAAGTCTTTAAATAAATACAACTTAGGTAACAGGTTTTGCCTGGGACAACAACAATAAAATATCTCTTCTACCCATCTATAGGTGGGTAGATCATCTTACACAAGATGATTTTTCTCAGTATTTTAATTTCTGATTGACCCTTTGGCTCAGCATTCCCCTCACTGGTCCCCACCCTCTGAAACAGAAGGAGCAACAACTTACCAACTTGCAAAGTTCTCACAGTAAGTTTTGTGTAGTGAGGCGTTGAAATATTACACAGATACTCTCCACTGTCATCAGTAATAAGATCACAGAACATCAGTGAAAAGTCATCTTGGTTAAGCCGGACTCGAGGCTGGTGAGAGTAGAATGTACCATTGAAGGAGGCCAGGACTGAGATCACTGCATTTCTGTTTAGTGTCCAAACAACACTGAAACCTTCAGTATTTGCAGTGTTGTTGCTGTATTCACAAGGAATCGCAGTGCTATTTCCTTCCACGTTAGACAGTTGGTCTGAAACAGATAATTGAAGAATCCTCTGCAATTTTTTTGGAAAATACTGAGGAGGTTACATAGACATCTTCTTTTTTTTTTCCTGAAGCCTGATACTACCGCGGACAAATATAAAAACATATTTCACTATTTTGATATAATATTCACTATTTTATAACACATCAAACATCACAGTATGCTTCCAGAAGCATGTGAAGATTTTAAAAGCAAACCTATCTTACATTAAAAATAAAAAATCTAATTTGTATTAGCTACATCTATGAAAATTATTTTGTTTTCATTTGCCTATTTCTCTTCTAATTGGGAAGCTCATTAATAAAAGTGATTCAGCCTAGTCTAAGTTACTGTGTAAAGCAGCACGAAATTCCACGTTGGGAGCAGAGAGAAAATGCAACTAATCAGATACCTGCACATTTAAAGCAAAAAGGTAAAACTGTTACAACGTAATTTAATTAAAAGGATAAAAAGATTGTATGTAGTTAGAAATAACTTTCAGCTATGGTGGACTTAAATGGTTTGCCTGTCTGTGTGGAACACTTACTATTAATGAATAGCTTTTTTTTTTTTTTAAAAAAAAGAAGGGTAAGGAAAGAGCAGGCAAGTGGAACTAATAGCTAATGTATAAAATGCTAATATAAGACAAATAATTACCATAGCACAACTATCAATTTAATAGCAGAGATTTGCTGCAAAGGAAGGAAGAACAGAGGAGGCTGTGGTGGCTGGCAGTCTGCTAGGGAGGAAACTAAAACGTTATTTTGACATGGTGTAACTACACTTGGTTTGTGCATGAGAGGCTGAAAACCGTAAGGACAAATAAAACTGTAGTCCACACTGCCATTACATAAGGAAAAGGAAAGTAGTGTATTTTCAAAATGTTTCAGTGAAAGGAACTAAGGTTTTTATGTATCTTGTCCAAGTTCATTCTTTTCTTGATAGAGTGTAAAGTTTGATTATTACTCTCCACTTGAAACTGATACGGAAAAAGCGTTCAGAGCAAAGCTAACTTACAGAAGTGTGAGCTATCCCCTCTCATCCCTACTTCTTGGACATATGCTGCCTTGTAATTGTAACAGATGAGTTTCAAAGAGGAATGCACATCCTTTTAGACCATCCCATATCTGTGTCACCCCACTGCAGAAACACTGTATTTCTTTTGGCTTTGAAACCAGCTGTGACATTCAGTAATGATGCAGGAGGAGACTTCTATTCATGCCTACCTTGCATCTCCCATTCAGCAGTCCACTCTTCATGAGGGAGATGAATATGACAGCGGTAAGGATCCGATGTGTTTATAATGTTCTGGTCACTTCTGAGAGAATAGAGAACTCCATCCCTGGTTTCCTGCCGATCTGTTTCTTGGATGGATGTATTGCCTTGTACCCAAGATATATGTGGTGCTGGATAAGTGAGAAAGGCATAGCACTTCAGCATCCTTCCTTCGTGTGTCTTTTGGTATTCCAGTGCATAATAAGGGGAAACTGTAGAATAAAGAAAAAATTTTTTTAAGAATCATGGCTTTCAAAATCCTTTTTAACTTGAAGTGACTAGTCTTTTGAAATAACATGGGGGAGAATAACATAACTGAGAATAAAATTTAACCTGTGTTTGATTTCAGAAGAAAGCATAGCATTACTTACTGTCAGTGTCAGAATCTGTACTGTTCTGAGAAGCCATATAATGTTTTAAAACTCAAGTATACTATCTAATTACCACTTAGAAAACACGGTTTAGTAGGTTATACGAACAAGTGCTGCACTGTAATTTTTCAACTCACATTACAACATTTCACCAGAGAAAATTATTTGTTTGATAACACCATCAGGCCCAAAAGGTGCCTTTTTGGGTTGGAGGATTTTGATTTCATGTGAGAAATAACACAAGAAAAATCTGTTGGTGTAAGCCCATTTCCACTGGTGTAATCCAAGCAGTTCTGATGTCTTACTGACCTTTTACACGCAGTGTGACTTCCACTTCTGTTTTATTTTGCTGTGTTCCCACATAGCATTTGTAAGAGCCCTCATCAGTCACAGTCAAGTTACTAAGTTTCAAAGAGGCGTTTCCACTACGAATGTTCTCATGGAAAAGATGTGTTCTGTGTCTATAATCTGGGTCTTGTCTATCTGGCCAATCCTTCTGGTAGTAGTAGGTGTGCACATTTTTGTTGCCTTTCTTCCAGTAAATTACTTCATCGTGTCCAGGTGGGAAAGGACAAGGGAGGATGCAATCCTTGGAAAACAGGCCCGTTACTGTTTCCTGTTCTGTAAAACCTAAAGCCCACAAATGCAAATGAAGAAGTTAAATTAAATCTTATTTATAATTATATTTCTGCCCCACCTTATCCTTGACAAAAAAATGCTCTGGCAGGCAGCACATACCTACCAAGTGAGTCTCTCGGACAGCAAGGCTCTTCATTTGGTTTAATCAAAGTTATAGCGGAGAGCACTGATCTTTGACCTTATAATCAGTTTAAGCAGATATCCTGAGTAAGCATCTAACCACCAGCTTAGCACCTAGGCTTCAATTGCATTTCCAAAAGCACCACCTTCAACCTCAAAACCTTTTGAGCTGCAGCTTGCTACTCACTTGAACATTCATAGTGCCATGTTGCATTGACCCAGGTTAGCAATAACCTCACATAGTGCCAAGTGGTTGTACCATGACAGAAAAAAGGAAGATAAATTTTAAATTTTAAATTAATCTTTTTGAAAACTTACTGCATTAACTTAGTATTCATCACATGGATCTTCTTGGCCAAGGTCAGACATCCTGTTAGGCTTATAGCGAGTGTTCAGCTGCAGCCGTCTTCTCAGAAATTTTTATGCCCTCTCCAGCTCAGCTCATCAGGGCAACCTGGATGACTTTTCCTCAGTTACCCCAGTGCAAATTCAATCAATGTACTTCAAACTATTTTCAGTACAAACTCTCAGCTACTGCCTGCTGATCAGTCACACGGCACACTCCACCAGCCGAGCCATGGGGCAGAAATGCTGGCAGGTAACAGCTTGGGTGCTCAAAGTGCTCAATGGCCATGGCGATCCATGCAGCCATCTTCCAAACACTCATCTTTTGCTTTGGGAGTGTCTTACGTTACCCCAAATTGATTCTTTACCTTTAATAAGCAGTGTTTTAATTAATTCATTACCTATATTAAAAAATAAGTAACAATTGTATTGTTATTTTTCATAAAAAAACAGAGCTAAAACCTACCGCAAAGTGTTGCACCTATGTGAAATAAATAGATGAGAAGAGATGGTATTTTCTGTCTCTTCATGTCTTCTTTGGTTCTTAGTAGACTTATGTCAGACTGACAACACAAAAGGAGGAGGGAAAACTTGTTTAAACGCAGGTAAAAGACTTACTCTACTTCTTTGCACAGCTTATTAAGGACTGTATTATTATTAAGGACTGCCCTTATATCATGTTTCTTTTTTGCAACAGTCTTGGCACAGATTTTTTGCCTTAGGGTCCTTATGTACTACAACACATTCCATAATGTTCGAGGCCCTCTGATTAACACGTAATCCTTTGCAGACTGATACTTTCTGTTTCTTTTTAATAAATAGGAACTGTTTACCCTAAGTGTTGTTACAGGGCTAGGGAGCATTAATCTTCATCAATCATGTACAGGACATGGAAAAAAATGGTCAAGCGCCATTTCCAAAGAGATTTAAGATGTCACTTGTAAAGCCAGATTATTCTACTTCTTAAAATATAATTCTGATTACTGCATGTCATGGTTGAAGCCAAGCAAGGAACAAAGAACTATGCAGCCGCTCACTCACCCTTTCCCCCAGTGGAGCGCGGAGGAAAATTGAAAGAAAAGGAGATAAGAAAAAAAATTACCCCACAGGTTGGAATAAAGACAGTTTAATAGAACACGACAAGGTGTGAAGAAATAATAACTAGTAACAAGGAGATACAAAGCCAGTGATGCCCAATGCAATTTGCTCACCAGCCCCAACCAATGGACAGCCCGTTTCTGAGCCCCAAACAAGTCTCCCCACCCCAGCAGGCTCCTCCAGGCTATATACTGATCACCTACATACTGATCATCTCCTTGGCTAGCTCAGGTCAGCCATCCTGGCTGTGTCACCTCCCAGCTTCTTGTGGAAAAACTAACCCTATCCCAGCTGAACCCAGGACACCGCAACATTTTACTTTTTGAGGTGAGAAATCTGCCTGCATTTGCAAACATTGCAGATGTAAAGAACTTTCCACCAGATCAAAAGGACCATCAGTTTAAATTCCAAAAATGTATGCATGGAGGTCTAGGAAAAGAATGCAAAAGAGAAGGAGGTTCTCCTACCATATCGTCTGGTTTGTCAGATAAATTACAATGAACTGGAGGCTCTTGTGCCCCACGAAAAAAGAACAATCATACTATAACTCACAGACTGCACTTTTCCTCCACCCAGGCACACTATTCTAAAATAGTGACCTTGGTGGAGAGATTACCTCATGAATCAAGTGGCTTGAAAGGAGTTTAAAGAGCTTTCCCTAGCCCTTTTCCCCATCCCAAAGGGCAGGCACCATTGCTAACTTACAGAGGGCACAGCTTTAGCCAGGCTTGCTAGCCACTTCTTTCAATACTAGCGAGTAATTTTGACTGGAGTGCACGACTATATTTGTGGTGAATGCAAATCGTGCATCCCAAGGATTTTTGCATGTTATTAATTTAGTAAAGCTAGTGTGATTTTTTTATGTATTAACACTTTTGTAATATGAAAAAAGAACAATAAAGAGGCATGAAAATATTAAACCTGAGACAGAGATGATGCAAGAGTAAAACAAATACTTATGATCTACATATTTGTTTCATGTTAGCAGCAATTGCCAGTATCTGACTTCTTTTCTCCTTGCATTGGCAAGCAGAGTACATCATATTCTATTGGATTTTTTGGTCATTTACCCATCACATCCAACTTGATTAATACAATATATCATGCTCGATGTTTGAATTTCAAAAACTGCAATCAATGCTAAATTTCCCTTAGTGAGTGATCTGCCACATTTGATAGACAGGCTGTGCAGTTTGGCAGTGATGCTCTGAGTAACATGGTTCCAACCATACCTCTGTGATGCCTCTGGGGGCTGCATCAAGGAGTGAAGCCTGGAAAGCGCAGGTTGCCTCACCTCTTCGAGTTGTACTCCATAAAGCCGTACTGAAATACAGAACTATAACTAGTTAGCTGAAAATTTTCCTGTTCAGCACAAATCTTAGCTTTGGATCATCCCATCACAGTGTGTTGAGAAAAATGTTTGTTCTGTAGAAAAACCTGAGGAGTGCAGGCTCCGGACAGTCTTCTTTTCAGCAGGTCTGAGGTCTTACAGGCATAACGTGTGCATGTATGCTGATAGTTAAGAGTCACACTGCAATGTACTGAAGAAACATGCTTTTCCTATTTGTTACAGGTCTAAGCGGCACAACCACAAAACTATACCATAAGGCTTTGTAGTGAAATATCAATACAATATTATTTACACAGACAGCGTATGACTAGAACAACACTGTATGTCAGTTACTGATCCTCTAGTTTTCAGAAGACTTACTTCATACAGAACCACCATAGGCTCAACTGGGCAGCAGAAGCTCAGCCAGGGTTTCTGAGAGCAAGGGGCAGCACTAAAATGCCTCTTCCAAGACATTAAAGCAAAGTCAAGCGCTTAACAGCTCAGACAGTGGCAGGGACAACACTGCACTTGCTTTGGCCAGTATATGAAACAAACTTCAAAAGGCATATGCTTTCTTTTTCTTCTGTCAGTGACCAGTCAGTGTCCTACATGATCTTTGACCTTTGCATTTGACCTGAACCCTGATCAGAGCACTCTCCTAGCATACAGGCATCAGGATCAGCCTCTGTCCAGTGAGCCCACTCTGTGACCCACTTTGAGAGCAGCTATGCATGTTTTAATATTCCTTTTCAAGGTAACTTAACAACAGCACATTTCAAGCACACATACACACAACAACTGGAAATACCTGAGGATTTCAAGTTCTATCAACAAGCAAACAAAAAAACGTGTAAAGTTCTAAAAATACCAAAACATTTTAATCACATCCTACTAAAATCCCACACTAGTCCCAGTGATACTGGCTTTCCAAAATTTCCCCGCTAAATCCTCAGAAGGTGTTTCCTGTAGTAGAAAAGAGAATTAATTCTCTGCCTCCCCCCAATGAAAGTACTACAATCTAAATGTTAACTCCATACTTCAGTTATTGACAAATACCCAAAAGGAAGTATGATCCCACATTCTAAATATCCAAAATCGTCTGAAGAAATAGATCGAAACCCCTGCATTTTACCTCAATATATGCATATTGTATACCCCTCCCCCCTCCGTCCCGTACACTTATAACACCAGAGAGCTGTTATAAGAACATCAGAGGATTTTTACCTCTTCTGACTTCATAAATAGCCAAAAAATTAAAAGTCCTCTTGTTTCAGGTGTTTCTTGCAGTCAGAGTTTATGTGTATATGTATGTACGAAAAAATGAAATAAATACACGGCTCTCCCAAAGCCAAGGAACTTTGCCTCCTCCTTCCTCCTTGCGCAGCCAAACCCACACATACCAAAGCTCACGTACTTAACCTGCAAGTCCCTTCCCATCTCACAGAAGACAGTTGCTGCTGTAAGCGTCACTCACGTTTCCACACACCGGAAGATTCCCGCCCCACCCCCGAAGAAAGCTTTCCCTCTGAACCATACCGGCAAGCCGCGCGGCTGAGGACCGCATGGAGGCGCGCACGAAGTTCAAGGGGCGGAGGTGAAGTGACCGAGCCAAGGAATCACGACGGGCGCGGTTTGGCCGCCGCCGGGAGCAGGCGCGGGAGATTTAAAGGGCCCGCAGGAGAGCGGGCACGCGGCGCGGCAGTTTGCACGGCAGCTCGCGCAGGGAGAAACACGGACTCGTTTGGTTGGAAAAGACCTTTCAGATCATCGAGTCCGCCCGTAGCCTGTCCGCTGCTAAACCATGTCTCTAAGCACCTCGTCAACACGTCCTTTAAATACCTCCAGGGATGGTTACTCCACCACATCCCCGGGCAGCCTGTTCCCGTTTCTGAAAACCCTTTCAGTGAATTTTTTCCTACTATCCAATCTGAACCTCCTGGCACACCTTGAGGTCATTTCCTCTTTTCCTGTCACTTGTTACTTGGGAGAAGAAGCCAACCCCCACCTCTCTACAACCTCCTCTCAGGCAGCTGTAGAGGGCAATAAGGTCTCCCTTCAGTACCCTCTTCTCCGACCGAAACAACCCCAGTTCACTCAGCCGCTCCTCATAAGACTTGTGCTCCAGACCCTCCATCAGCTTCACGAGTTACCATCTTTTATCTGATTTTAAACACTACTGGTTTCAGAAATGCTTTTAGAGCTCACTTACTCATGACCACAACTATGGGCATAAGTTTCACTTGAAGGTCCCTTACAACTAGTTACAACTGAACGAGTAGCTCCAGTGTCTAATAGACAATCAATAGCTTCATTCTGGTAAATACAAGTATGTCGCAGAGATAGCAGAGCAGATTTAATGACAGATTCATAATATAGAATTACTGCTAACATTGGCACTATTAAAAAAAACTTATTCAGGAAACTTCTGCTCATTACACTAAATGTCACTTTGTCACTAGCACATTTCAAAAACTATTAAAAAATGAACTGATATCTCATTTAAAAAATACTGTTAATATTCTGTAACTATACTGAGACACAGAGAGCAGATTTATTCCCGGGGCATCTCTCAAGCAGCACCTGGGCAGAGGCACATAAGTGGGGACGCAGGCACCGTGAAGCTTGGTTCTTGCTGAGACGAGAGCAAGAGATTTTGAACCTGCTGCTTTTGTCTGTTTTTCAAGGATGTTTCTCAGGCGTAGCTTTCCACTGTTGTGCTTTGATCTTTCCCACAGCAGGGCAGGAATCTCAAGCGTGTTAGATAAGGGGCCTCTGAGATTATCACAGCCTATGTTACCTAAGCACAGAGGTTTTACTTGTCAAGCATAAAGACTAAACAGCAATTAGTACAATGTATG